TCTAATAACGCGTCCGATGCTCGACCAACTGAGCTACCACGGCAGCCATCCCCCCCGTCCACTTTATGGGGTGTATATGCGCATTAAACGTGGGAGCGTCAGTCAGCGCCGCCAGCAGCCATGGCGGCGATTGTGGAACACTGTTTATCATCCTGTTGGACGTCAAGCACGTGAACTTATTACGAGCTGGCAGCTCACCGATTATCGTACCTTAAGATGACGCCAAACGGGCAGATGAAGAGTGCTTCACACTCGTCGCCATGGCTGCTGGCGGCGCTGACTGACGCTCCCACGTTTAATGCACATATACACCCCATAAAGTGGACGGGGGGATAGCCGCCGTGGTAGCTCAGTTGGTCCAGCATCGGACGCGTTATTAGAAGATCGCAGGTTTTCTGCCCATTACAAGTTTTCTTTTTGTCCACTTTTCTTCCCAATTAAATTGCAATTATTTAATAACTCCCCTTATACTTTCCTCAGCTTAATTCTGTGCAGGATCTCATTAATATTGTGTCTAACAAAGGAAACGAGCCCTTAAATGTATATTTCATTCTTTCAAGGAATAATAATAATAATATCTGAGGTTTTTTGTCCCAAAACCATGATATTATTATGAGGGTGCCCGTAGGGAAGGGTTCCGGACATTTGAACCACCTGGTCGTCTTTCGTGTGTACTGACATCGCACAGTACTCAGGCCTATGCGCCTCCACCGAAAAGCGACTACCGCGGCCGGAATTGAACCCGCGACCTTAGGTCCGCAGCCGAGCAACGTAACCACTGATCCACTGCGGAGGACAAAGGAACACAAGGAACATACTCGACGCACTTTCTAATTTCGTCTGCTATTTCGATCGTGAGACCGCCATAGATAGCGATTTCGCGCTGTTCTCAGCTCTGCTTCTAAACTTTTCTCCTGTGCGAAAACGGCAACACAACAGGGCTTATATCTAGCGTCGCACATGTTCTATTAAAAGTGCGAAAAAGAAAAGAGAAGGGGCAGGGACATGAAACCTGCAAGAAAGCGTTTCGTTGGCTACCAAAGGCCGTCTACGAGTGCGTGTGCAGTTCCGTGAGATGTTACTATCTATTGTTGGCATGAGGCGTAGGTTCTATACTGCATGCGTCGGATGGAAAGACGACAAGAAAGTGCACCATTCGCGCACTTGAAGGACATACGCGGGTGCCATCGTTTAACGTTTAACGTACGAGCTACGTCCACGCGTAACTCGGACGTCTGGAGCGTGCAGCACAAATCGATGCGCTCTCGTCAGTCGACGGAGGCGTGCAAAAGGTGGATCCATGAGGCGCTCCTTCGCCACGTTGTGGACGGTGCACGCAATCCTTTGGAAGGACCCTCCGCGTGGTATCGCAGCTAGAAGATGGATGGAACGTCATGATGACGGGCACTTGCGGCGAACGCCGTAAGCTTCCTCGAAGGGCGATCTCGAAGGTGGAATCTATCGCCGACGTATATAAACAAGACGTGCGTGGGAGGAGAAAATCGACGATTTGGGAGCCGAATATTGACTGTGTTCGCATTTGTGCCAGATATTGCACAGGTGGCGAGGGCACTACAGAAGCCATAAGAAAACGTGTAAAACAGTACTGTTCAAAACAGGATGTACGTGATTGTAGTTTACTTGTGTTTGTAGCCAATCGTTGAAAGGTCATAAACAGAACCAGGCTTGGAACGGCTTTGTTTTCAGTGCACGGAATTTTTCTGTTCCTGAAGTTCGAACGTAACTTTTATTCGGACGAAAAATAAAAAAAAACAAGTAGGACAATGGATGATATTTTTTTTTTCACCATTAGACTTTGTTACATATATGATTAAGTGATTCTGCATAGCGGGTGGGGTTCGGAAAGAATCCTAAGCGAATCGCATTTTTTCTAAGCCAAATCACGCATACGGTTTCCGTAGAAGGTTTTCGACACATGAAGGCAAGCGTTAGCAATGTACAAGTGGAACTTTCACAATTCTGCGCCCTCTCACTGACACTGCCACTGTCGCTGCGTCGCAGATCTCAGCAAGCAAGCTAACGCATTGCGGCGCAGACGTCTGCAGTAACCACTGGACAACTGCTGCCGTCAATCTTTACAGCGCCTCAATGGCGGAGTGTAAGGACGAGCCTCATTAGCACGGCACTTAACATTTACTGCCTACTCTAACGTGAGCAAACGCAAAATCACTCCGCGAAGTCAAGAAACTATATGCTTTACCATCTATGACGTTTAATCATGATAATTGTCGCGTCCTTTTCTGCAATTGATGAAAGCCATAGCCTGTGACATCTTGTGCTGAGCTGAGAAATGAGCACTTAGTATACAGACTTCAGTTCGCATTTCATAACAGATGACTAGTGTCTCGCTCTTAAGATTCAGATCAACTGGACTGAGCTGCATTATTTCAATGCAAATGAAGCGCTCGTTTTAAAACATGTTTTGCGTTGCTGATACCAAGGCGTAATATGTAAGCATATGTTCCATGTTTTTTTATCTAAAGCCAATAAAAGGTTGTAATCAAATAAACTAATCACTATGAAATATTTAAGAGTGCTCGGAGTTTCGGTGAAGCCATGTTTTTTCAAATATTTTGAACGACGATAACGTAGAATACTGCTCAGTTCACTTGTTGGCCTGCGGCCATTTAGCATCATGCATCAGAGTGTTTTACAGAGTATTTATGAAATGCAAAGCTTTTATTGACGGACTTCAGGCACTTTGAGCGTTTCTATGTACCTATGTATCCATGTATATATATACCCGGCGACGTCTGTGTGTTTTTGTGATAGCCTCTTTAACTTAGCGTATAGACCAAAATTATTGTATGATAGTAAGAAAGTTTGACGAACATAGGTGGTTAGTCATGACATAAATAAAGTGAAAATACCACCAGGTACGTCATCGAATCCTCTCCTCCAGACACGTGTGACGCATACATGTATAGCACGGGTGGCGCTATAAATATATGCGGTTAATGCGCCACAGGTGGTTAATAGTTCATATGTAGCCAAGAACGGCGAACACAGTTCTTGATAATTTAATTGCGAGTGCGTTAAAGAAACTTACATCAGCAGCGTTGACCAGAAGAATGCAACTAATAAATATCATGCATGCTTCTAGCAGGAATCGAGCCCAAGCATTCGGCTTGGCAATCAACTTTTGTACCACTGAGAAACACGCCACATCTCGGAACTGCCTTGGAAACAGACCCTATGCAGGAGTACTCTTTGTGAAACGTCAATTGCAATCGCAATTCTGGCTATCGAATTTTATGAACATTGCATATGTACTCGTATGATACAGGCGTCTATCCACTGAAGTTGGCCTATATAGCGCTATCCAGGGCTACCATCTTCGTAAGTGCACAAGCGCTTCATCTTAACTTACTGCGTCTGGTGTTGATAATACCCACATTGCTGTTGATATCATTACGGAACTGTTAAGAACTGGTGCTGCCTGCGCGTACAACATTTATATGTATCTGTAGCGTAATTTTGTAACGTTTTTATCAATTAAAATTTACATCAAAGCCACCTTCCATTTGCATGCTTCACATAACATCAATTTGTACAGTAAGTGGGTTATGCCGAGTTTGTTATGTAAGATATCGGTGCCCTGGGCTTTCGAACAATTGTAGAGATAAAAGGAATTGTGAATGCATTTGTGTAAGACGCGAAAAAATAATAAATGCCATTCTCTTGTGTTCGCGTTTTTTTTCGCGCCTTAAAATTAGTTATGAACGTGCAACAACTTGCCCTACAAAAAGTTCTCTTAAAACAGAAATGTGTGCGCGCCTGCACATACATACAAAAAATGTAGAACATATGACACCGTTTTGTATTTCAATTGATGATTAACATGGCGTATATATTATTGTGCCTTGCATCGCTGTTTTCATACTTTTTTCTGTAAAATGATATGACGGTGTGGTAATGAAATATTGTTGCAAATCATAAAGTTTCCTAAAATTAACTGGAGGGGACTCTGGCGCTGCGATCGTTCAGCGACCATGGGAATGATGGGTAGTACACACATTTGTCTAGTCTTCGTACTTGCGGGCGGCGAATCATACTTGCGGCTTCGTTCATTGCTGTGTTTCGGTTTTGTTTTGAAATAAAGATTCAAACCTTTTGAACTTTGTGACCCAGTTTGGAAAGGTAAGTCTAAAATAATGAGGTGGCGAAGCACAATCGCTGAACATTTGCTGATTTTTGTTTCGTGAGATAACAGTTCCAAACCACACGAGCACACACGGAGCCAAAATCAGGCCAGAAGTACGAAGTTTAGACAAATGTGTGTACAACCCATCATCATTCCCATGCTCGCTGAAGCGCCGTGCGTTGCAGCTCCCATAGACACTAGCGCCAGAGTTCCCTCTAGTGTATATTAAGAAACTCTATGTTGCAAACTGTATTGTTGCCTTGAAACTTGTTTCAAGATGTCATGCGTGTGTTCATTGAAGTGCTACGTAATAAACGTTGCCTTGTGTACAATGACAGTTCGTGCGTTCATTTTCCTAGAAGATATGTGTTTTAATAAGAACATAAAACTACTTGTATACTGCTATCACGTCAATAAAAATGCAAGAGCAGCGATTATAAGCAATAACAACATGATAATAGCTAAGCGGCAACTGTATATATAGCCACCGATAGTGATATTGGTTAGAGATTAAGGAACGTTCCCATTTCTTATACTTATCATAGCGTGAAATAGGCGCCTATTGTCTTGTTGGGCCCTGCAAGGGTTCAACTAACGATGCGCATTAGCCTTGTTCATGGGTTCCTAACGCTGAGGGCCCTCACGTTTACGTCGTACCCATATATAGTGTCCATATACGCGTCCTCCTTCGCGCACCATACTACAAGTCTCATTCATTAAGTGCTGTTGCTATTGTTTATGCTGTTATAACATCTTATAGCATCTTCAGTGCACAAAAGGGCACCCGGTTTTACTTGTGCAGAATACTCATGTATATCTTTTTCTTGTTTCGCAGAATCCGGCGTACACAATGAAAGAAGTTGCTGATCCGTGGAGGGGCATCACGCAACCAGCCTCCTACTACTACGACCCGGCTCTGGCTGCATACGGGTAAGTTGTTATGTTCCACGTCGCGTATATCGGTGTATTCGTACAGTTACAATACATTTATTACATTGTGCATTTACTGGAATAGGTATGCGCTTATAGTGTCTCCCGCATATATTACGCGCTTAATGTCCTCCGTACACTCCATGCATACGACAGTAGCTTCTGGTAGCAAAAAGGAAGAAATGACGAACGAACAGGGCTCACAAAGTGTCACGGCACGCATGGAACGAAGCGCGGGCATTATATTTTAAGAAAAAACAAGACGTTCCACTTAAGCTCGAGGAAAAGTCGTCTCGACCTCCGAGTGTCAGGTTTCTCGTTTGCGACGTGCTCATATGTTGTGTCGTAATAATAATACAAAAATGGGCAACTGCGGTTTCATAAAATGGACGTGACAGGCGACACTAAACGAGCGCCGCCATTGCGTCACGAATTCCGAGCGGAGAAGAAACCCATTTCTCATTTTTCCTCTTGGCTGTTGAGTCGTATTAGCAACAACTCATGCTGCGTCTGCTCTCTTAATGTGTAACGTGTCGTGCAAGTTGATAAATGGAGAATTGAAAAAAAAAAAAAGCGAGCGCCTGTGGTTCGTCGATTAGTCGATAGAAAGAAACAGTACACATTTCAGCGATCGTAGCTGAGACTGATATGACCTTGCGTATATATCGTGTAATTGTAAAAGTTGTTGAAATGGAATCCACGTTTATCCGTGTAACTAAATACGTTGATACGCACAGCTAAGCAGTAAGCTCCCAAGTGGCCTACGCGCACGTGTGACTGCAGTTGCGAAGAACGGTGACACTATAAGGAAGTATAGCGCGCTTCATATCTTGCTGCTGTAAACTTCCAGGAGCAAGCAATAACGGGGAGTTACTGATCCGGCAAACGCGTTAGTGTTAGTGTTCGAATGTGTATAACTAATTATGTTTCTTCATTTTTTGTGGATATATATATATATATATATATATATATATATATATATATATATATATATATATATATATATATATATATATATATATATATATATATATATATATATATATATATATATATCCAGGGCATGGTATGGACCGGGGCAGGTGGTCATGCCGTGTGGTGATCGATTGTGACACGCGCAGAGAGCGATTGGTGCCGCGTCAGCCAGCTTCTGTACGCGTTCCTGCTCAGCCGCAGCCATAGATGGATATATGTACTCCTGTAACACGTTAAATAACTGCGTTCTGTGGGTTGTGTTGTGTGTTAGCGGCGAGCGCCGTAAGCAGAAATGCCCGAACGCAGATAATGGCAGCAGTTGCGGCACGAGCACAGAGAAATGCTTCGGAGTGGCGCTGATTTACAGGAGGGCGAAGCATTTAACGACGTGCAGGCCCGCATGACAGGCTGACCCACTTGGCGTCGAGCGCGGACCCCGCCTGCCTAGCGCGACTTTGGCGCCAACTTCGGCGAATATTACGCGGTGGCCGTCGGGGAGGAGAGGATGGAAGAGGGCGCCATCTGGCACCGGGCAGTGAGCGCGCACGCGTCGCATGTGACGAGCTGGTGCACACACGGAGGCACAATGGCTGCTCCCTGCACTGTGACGTGTCTCCGGTGGTCGCCCGCGTCTCTCGCGATGCCGATGGCGATAAGATAGCGGGCTGGTTTTTAGCGAGCCACCGGTGGCCGGCGCCGCTCAATGGAAACCCGACACGCTACGCTTACCGCGGCTTCGCTTTTATACGCGTCCGAAGCACCTGTCCAGACCATAAAACTGCGCGCTTGCGTGCGCGCACGGCGAGTGGTCAGACCACACAGGCACGCAGGCCACGGAGCAGCAAAGAAAGAAGGGGGAGCGCGTGTAATAACTATACTAAAAAATTAGAGCGATAATAAAAAATAACCATTGACAGGATAACAGTGAAGCGCCAGGAAATAAAAACGGGTGCGAGCGAAAGCCGTTTGCGAGGCACGTGGACCCATTGCAGGAAGCACCCTCGAGTGCCCGTCGCCGCTGTCGATGTTCAAACAACCGCTGTCACGCGTACGGAGCAAAACGGACGGACGATTAGGAAATACGGCATGCAAAAGACGTGCCCATGTTCGCGCACGGCTCTGACACGCTTGAGAACGGGCGTGCGCGAACAGTGCTGACATTATACTAAGATTAATGTCGATGGGAACACGTTTTCTTGCTGACCGTGAATGGACTCGAGTCAATGGCACTGCGTAAGTGAAGCGATTAATATATGTGCCCAACAAAGCTGGCAGGGAAAAAAAAAAGAAAATGACAACCATGGCTGTCTGTTATATGCGTAGCGGCAGTAAAAGTATAGCACGTGACCGAATCTGTTCATTGACCCAGATAAAATTTGGCCACGAGTTTGACAAAAAAATGTATTTCACAAATAGAAGCACTTTGATATATAGCGAAAGAAAATCATTTGAATGAATTAGAGATTAACGAATATGTTGCTATACAACCCCTACTAACTGAACAAGTTGATATGTGGGGTTTAACGTCCCAAAACCACCATATGATTATGAGAGACGCCGTAGTGGAGGGCTCCGGAAATTTCGACCACCTGGGGTTCTTTAACGTGCGCCCAAATCTGAGTAGACGGGCCTACAACATTTCCGCCTCCATCGGAAATGCAGCCGACGCAGCCGGGAATCGAACCCGCGACCTGCGGGTCAGCAGCCGAGTACCTTAGCAACTAGACCACGGCGGCGGGGCAGGTGGTATTTTTTTTGTATTTTGCGGTTATATGTAGTAAGCAGAGAAAACACTAGTGCGTAATATATACAAAATGAGAAAGTGTTGAATCGGACGTTTTGGAAAGCAATAACTTTTGTATTGGAACTTTTGCCCAGCTATGGTGCTTGAAACATTAATTAATTAAACATGCCTCTGTAGACAATTAAGCAGGAAACGAAAGCTAGTGTGACTTACTCCATGCATTATTCATGCCACATGCATTCGGTCGCGTCGTGATAAAAACTGCGTTGGCACATTTTAAAACTTTGGCCATGGAGTTGGTAAGGGCACCCACACCTGCAATGTTTGTTACAATCAATATACGGTTTCTCCTCACAACAGGAAACGGCCCCGACGTGGTGGTCTAGTGGCTAAGGTACTTGGCTGCTGACCCGCAAGTCGCGGGATCGAATCCCGGCTGCGGTGGCTGCATTTCCGATGGAGGCGGAAATGCTGTAGGTCCGTGTGCTCAGATTTGAGTGTATGTTAAAGAACCCCAGTTGGTCGAAATTTCCGGAGCCCTCCACTACGACATCTCTCATAATCATATGGTGGTTTTGGGACGTTAAACCCCACATATCAATAAACAACAGTAAACAAATCTGTGTTCTGCGTTTTTCGCACACCTGCATGCTTGTAACAGGCTTTGATGCGAGTCTGTAACAACGAACGCATACTAAAAGCCGAGCAAGCAGTGTATAGAGGCGAGAGAGCAGTGGTATACAGTCCTCTATGGGCATGACGTTGTTCAAAGTGTATACTAAATAGGCTATCAACGTAGAAGCGTACAGTTAGTATCCACCGGGAGAGGTCAATTATAGGAGTGAGCATTACAAATTGGTTCTCCCTCTCAAACAGCGATGAGAAATGACACGCCGCAATAGGTCCCACGTTTCCGATACTGGCGTGTGCTCGCGCAGAGGTGGCTCGTTGCGGCGGCGCGGTGAACGCGTGGTCAAGCGACGAGGACGTGCCTTCCAATCGTTCCTGGTTGCGGTGCTCCAGTCTTCTGTGGACACGTGTATTTGAGCCTGTACCAGACACGGGCGCGGGACATTAAGGGCGCTGCGCGCAAATCGTTAGCCTAATGCACACCCGCCAAATGGTGGCCGCCGTTCGCGGTCGCTGCCCAGCAGCTGCTCTACAAATTGAAGCGCCATATATTCCCCGTGACTCCCCGCTTCATTTCGTGGCGCCCATGTCACTCCGTGGTGTCTGTGTGCGTTTTACGCATCTCTATAGTACCTGCCTTTGGCCCTTCTGTGCTGTTTTCGCGGCGGCTATAAACTCTGACACAGCGGCCAGAGTGGCTCCGAATTTGTGCTCTGAGATAGATCTGGCAATCGGTGCAGACATAGTTTGGTCACTGTCGTGACAAGCCCTCGCGCCACGGAGTCGTGGGTGGGATCGGTCGTCCGTGCTTGCGATGTCGCGCGCGCGGCGTGATTAGGACAGCGTTGCCGGTGCGAATTGGCTTGTCGCGAGGGCGTTCCGAAAGAACACAGTTATCGTGCTTTAAAACACCGCTGGCTTTAAGCGCGAAGTAAACATACCCTTACCCGTAATACGCAGCGAGGACCATTCAGAAATGTACATTTAGAGTACGACTGCAGCTTCGCTGCGTAGGGTTTCTATTGTAACAATAATAACAACTGAAGACTCGATCGTTACGTAATATGTATACCTTGCATTACAGGGAACAAGTCCTCACGGACCAAATGTGCTGGGAATGAAATCTTAGAGAGAGAAACGATAGACAGCATTATGACAGTGGTTTTGAGCGGATAATATGGGTTTCAAATGGTTTGTATATATACATTCATGAAAGTGTGCATGTTCTGAAGAAAATTTAGCTATATTCCACGTTGACGAAAATGCGAAGCCTCTAAGTTTCACTCTGCAAGTTACTTCGACAGCGGCTTTATAGAAGCACTATCGCAAACATACATAACTCAAAAGTGTCGTTGAGGATGGCATTTCTTGGATCATTGATAGCGGACTGACGAAGGGAGATCAGGTAGTCCTCATCGGAAGAGACTAGTGCATATGATCTAGAGGTTCTATAATTTGATATACCATTGAAAGCATGGGAGTGACGATCGCACCTCTGAACCTCACGAGTGCAATGGGCCACATGCTATGGTCCAATATAACGATAGCCCCGCCGTGGTGGTCTAGTGGCTAAGGTACTCGGCTGCTGACCCGCAGGTCGCGGAATCGAATCCCGGCTGTGGCGGCTGCATTTTCTATGGAGGCGGAAATG